CAAAGGCTTCCACCTACAGTGTCAGGTCCAGCCTCAGGGCGCCGATGGAGTCCTGCCTTGATCCTTCACATCTGAGCCTGATCCCTCCTCCCCCAATCTTTCTATGGCAGGAAAGGCACTTCTGCGTACCTGACCCTCATTCTTTGCTTGTCCCTCTCCCCCGCACCCCGCCTTCAGCCAGTCACCAGTCCTGTTGGGTCTACTCTCAAAATTGCTTCTGGAGACACCTGCTCCTTTTCTGCCCCCGCTGCCACCACCATGGTCTCGCCATCACCAGCTCTCATGACACCCCCATTTCTTTACAGCGGACCCATCTCATGTTCTGTCCCCTTTGGACTAGCCTCTCACAGCAGCCAGAATCGTCCAGGAAAACGTTCACAGAACCATGTCACTCCCCGGCTTAAAACCCTCTCAGTGGTATCCCACTGTACTTACAGCAAAGTCCAAAAGGCTTACCCTAGCCTGCAAGGCCCTGTGGTTTGTCCGCCTTCCTCTCCATCTCATTTCCCACATCCCCCTTGTACGCTTTGCTCCATCCAGCCAGACGTGCTTCCTTTTTGCTACTGGAATTGCCGTGTCACTTGCTGCCTCAGGGCCATCACCTCCTCTGTTCCTGTGGCCTGTGTGCTCTTCCCGACACTCTTTGCCTTATGAATGGTCCAACTGCTGAGTAAGTGCTACTCTTCAGCTTACATCAGGTATTTTTTTCCTGAAAGCACTTTTCCCAACTTGGAATTACATATGTACTTGATGGCTTTAAAATTGTTACTCCCAAAAGACTGTAAGCCAAATTGAGGGTGGGGGAGAGAGAAAGCATATCTTTGTTTGTTTTGCTATTTTTTTTAAAAATCAGCTTTACTAAGGTATATTTGATTGTTTTGACTTTTAACCCCTGTATTCTCTGAGCTTAACAATGGCCCAGCACATAATAGTGTTTACTAGATACTCACTCACTCAATGATGGAATATCAGGGTATTTCATCAACTTGAGTCACTCCCCTTGGACCATGAGCTCCTGAGTCAGGTTCAAGCTCAACTCTGGGTCCTCAGCTCCAGCCCAGAGCTTGTTACTAAGGGACAAGTAGGAAATGTTTGAATGGAAGGAAATGGGGAACTGATGGGTTCCTTCAATAGAAGGAGTCTAGTGCATTACTGAGTATAAAAAATAAACTCTCAGGGCTGTGTGTGTGTTGGGGGGGGTTGGGCTGTGGACCATGAGGAGACTCCAGTGTTCCTGAGTGGGCAGGGAATGGATTCGCTGTCCACTGGAGGATGGGGAGCATTTCAGAGCTCTGAGGAGGCCCATGGCAGAGTATAAAAGGAGCAAGCTGTGAAGACAGGTCTGGTTTGAATCCTGCTCTACCACTCACATGCTGTGTGACATGTGGCAAGTGACTTCGCCTCTCTGAGCTCCAGTCCATCAAAAGGGATGATGACAGACCTTACCTCCTGAGATTGTCGTGAAGATTAGAAACAATGTATTGGCTCAATTAGCAGAGAATAGGCAGTGATGCTGTTATTGCTGCTGCTGCTGAAATATTTTAAGTCCCTGGATGCTGGCTGCTCCTAAGCAGAACGTGGGGTAGATAGAGCTTTACCTTGGCTTAGGGCCACTGGAGAAGCAGTTCTGAGGACAGACCCAAGGGTGAAGCAGGTGTGTAAACAGAAAATGAAGGCGTGAGCCCAGAAGCCAGCAAAGTGGGAGAGAGGTAGGCAAGTAATGCCCTGGGCAGACCAGACTGGGTTTCATCTGACTGGAGGCCCGTTGGAGGACTGCATGGCCACATAGCTGGGCCAGCTAGACATCCTTTTGTCTGTGTGTCTGTCTGCCACCCCCAACCTGTTTTCCCATCTGTTTGGGAGCCTGACTCCACTTCTCCTGTCTCCCCCTCCCCAGGGGCTGCCCTGGCCTGGGCCAATATGCTGAGATGCAAAGGGAGGTTGGTGTCGATGAATCTTAGGCCTGAGTTCATCTTCTGGCTTAGGTGTTGACTCGGAGCGTGGCCTGCAACCCAGTCTCTCTATCTCCTGCCAAGCTGGGGGGTTCTAAGGGGCCTCTGAGCTCCCACATTCTACCACCCTGCAGATTAGGCAGCACTTACTGGGAAAGACCCCTTGGGTCCCCACACAGCATAGGGACACAGCCAGGGGCTCAGTGGAGATGTCGCCAGACACAGCAGGATCCAGAAAGAGGCTGGGGAACCAAGCCGCAGACAGGGTCCCCGGGGGCGGCGGCTGAGAGGAAGAGGCCATGGCTGGGGGCCTTGAGGGGTGAAGAATCCTGCTCTGCTGTCCCCGGTGGGCTGGCTGCTCCCCCCAGCACTCCCCGCCGGGCCCCCGGGGGACCTCGCTCTAATAATGTATTTGATCGACTCGCCGGCCGCGTACAAGCGATTATTGTCTTGTCGGGAGTCAAACGTATCGATCCGGTGAGAAATATGAGCGGAGCAATGGGGCCCGCGTGTCAGTTACCAGCCCCGCTGGCCCTGGGGAGCCCCCTGCGTCTCCTTTAATTACCGCTCAGCCCTGAGCCCAGCCTGGCCTCCCCGCGCCGCTTCCCGCTCAAGCTCCCTGCACCCCGAGGGCCCCCAGTGCTCCCCAGCTCCCATGCCCTACCTGTCTTGCTCTACACAGCTTGATCTTTCTTCTCCAGCTGAGAGGCCACCATCTCCCCTGCCTGGGCCACCTCATTCCTGGCTGCCAGGCCTTACCCACCCAGTGTGCCCCAAGCTCTGCTCCTCTCTTCTCTTTCAGGCAGGGGGACAACTCACGCCCATTCTCCTTCAAGGTTCCCTGACTCTGGCTCAGGGACTCAGTCCTGGTCTGCCTGAGGCCATAATAGTGGAGCCAACAGGGGAGGCAGTAAGGGTGGGGTGGTTTCATCCCATGGGGGAGCACGGAAGGCTTTCCTCTGCTCCCCTGCTCAGCTGCAGGCCTGGGAGGGCAGCTCGGGAGTGTGGTGCTTCTCTTTGCTCACCAGTGGGGACTGACACCTGGTCATGTCCAAAAGTACTCATCATACATAGGCTATGGTGACTACCTCCGGGGCAGAGCATGAGGGTGGCTTGGTGGGTTTTGGCGCCCCCCCCATAGTGTCCTTATGACACTCATTTCCAAATCATCCAAAACATAAATCCTAAATCAAAACAGAATATACTGGGCAAATGAAGCTTTAAGACAAGGCTCCAGTACCCCACTGCCACCAGACAGCTGTCTGGAAGGCTCTCATGTATAGAAATCCTTCATGAGAGATAGAGACAAAGATAGAGTTGAGAGATAGAAATAGGGATAGAGATAGAGATAGATGGAGGGAGGGAGGGAGAGAGCGAGAGAGAGAAAAAGGAGAGGGAAAGTGAGATGCAGAGACAGGAGGAAGGAAGTCTGAGTTGGAGCCAGGTTGATGCTGGGTAGCATTTACAATGTGGGATGTTGTGGAGTGTAGACAGCTGGGAACCGTCCCCCTCTGTGTGCAGATGTAAGGACTGCTGGCCATTCCCGTGGAGTGGGCCTGCTGGCCTGCCTGGGCGTGTCTGGGTGCACGGGGCCCACGCAGACGAAGGGCACTTGTGAAGCTCTGTCTGTATTATACCCTGCGTGAGTGTGCATGGGTGTGAGGGTGGGCACACATGGCAGGAGGCCTGCTTGGGCACATGTGTCTAGGTGTGCCCTTGTGCCCATGTGTCCACGTGAGGGAGCAGGGGGGGTGTCTGAAAGGCGAGTCATCAGGGAGGGTTGGTGTTGGGGCCTGTGCACAGGGGAGTGTGCCTGTGTGTCTGCGTGTGCACACGTGTGCGTGAAGTGCTGGGGTCTGTGTGTAGAAGTACTTCAGTGTATGTGTGTGCCAGGGGAGGGTGAGTGTCCGGGCGTCAGTGTGCGCGCATGTGGTTTGGGGGTCCCCCAAAGTGGGACGCAGTAGGTATTGCAGGGCCCCGGGAGGGCAGGTGAACCGTTTGGAGAAGCCAGGCAGCCTGGCGGCCTCGGACCTGGCACCTGGAGCAGGAAGAGGACAGCCGCCTGGCCGCGCCTTTGTCTGCGCCGCGGTGCGCCGGGAGTCCTGCGCCTTTGTGTGACCCTCGCAGGTGTGCGCGCGGGGCGCGGAAGAGGGGTGGGCGGAGAGGGGAGCCGAGGAAGGGGCTCCCTTCCCCGCAGCCGGCCCCGCCCTCCCGCCCATTGGCTGGGCGCTGCCGCCCTCTGGCGGGCGCGGAGGGAAGCGCGGGGCCGGGAGCGGAGCGGCGCGAAGGGCCAGCCGGCGGCCAGGGGACCCCGTGCTCCCCTTCACGTGAACCTCCTCAGGCGCCGGTATTTGCCCCCCGGAAGACTTCTTGCTGCTCCAGGGCCAGGTCCCGACCTGCCGCCTGTACTCCCATTGCCCACAGGCGCCGCTTCCGCCCGGTGGTGGTCCCGGATGCCTCACCTGCGGACAGGTGCACGGCAGGGCCCTCTCCCCGCCTGCCCCCTCCCAGAACCGTGTAGAAACCCACCGCGGACGCCGCCTCCTGCTGTGCTTTCTGGCTCTGGGCTCCTGTGAAGACTACCTCCCCTCTCTGCCTCAGTCTTTTCTTTTGTATAATGGAGCAAACAGTGATTGCCTCAGGATGACGCTTGTCAAGTGCGTGGCGCAGAGCCTGGCACTGGGAAAGACTCCCGCTTCCTCCAAACACTTCTAGCTGATGTTTTAATGTCGTTATGATGGGTCCACATTCTCTCCCAGCCCACATATCCTGTTCCAGATCTGCTCTGGAGGCAGCAGGGGCTGGGGCAAGTGTTGCGGGCACCTCCTGGAGGCACCTCGGTAGGAGTCAGCTCTTCCAGCCTGCTTGCGCTCTGCTTCACTACTCCCACTTCCCCACCACGCACGATTTGGGGTCGCTGCCTGCTGGGGTGGGCCTTCCAGCCAGGGTATTTTCCCTTCCGAAGGGGGCGGACCTGTGGTTTCCTCTCAGGGTGACTTCCGGCAGAGAGGGCTTGGCCCCCAGAGAGGGCGGGGAGATGACACAGTTGTTCCCCCAGCCCTGCGGGGCGGGCAGCACGGTTCACTCCAGCATGGGGGCTCCAGGTAAGGGGCCGGCGCCCCGGCCCGGGAATAGGGGCCGCTCCTCCGGGTTGGTCCTGTTGTGCACATCGCTGGCCTGCCCTGCCCTGCCCTTCCTCCTTAGCTGTCTCCTCTGTCCTTCTACTCTGTACCTCAGCAGCTCCCCACTTCCCATCCTGGGTCCCCACTCGCAGCTCCTTTTTCTTCTCTCCTTTCACATCAGACACCTGGGGGCTCCCAATCTCTTCACCCCAGCTCTGCTGCCCTGTTCTGAAGGCTCTGGGGGAGGGATGCAACCTGAGGTCCATAGCGGACTCTTATGCGGAGGACAGGTGGGTGGGGGGCAACCTGAGTAGGGGCTGCAAATCGGTGGGAAGGCAGAGTGAGTGGCTGGACTTCTGAGTGTGCGTGCCTCCGTGCACCCTACGCGAGAGGCAGTCCTGAGTCCCACTGAGTCTGAGTGTGACTGTCTTGTGGCTGTGTGTGAGGGAGCGCGGGGGGCTGTTGTGTGTGACACTGTAGGGGTAGCCTGGGCAGTGATCTCACAGCTTACTTCCTTACTTCATTCGCCTCAGCTGTCACCTCAGGGAGGCCTTACCTGACCTTCCCATCTAAACTGGCACTGATCTCGCCATTCTCAGTACCCTTGCCCTGTTTGTCTTTCCTTCATGGCACTTACCATCGTCTGAAAATCTATTATATGGGAGATGGCTGAGTGAACATTGTGTTCCAGGCACCATGCAAGGCAATTTGGGTTTGTTGTCTCATTTGGTATAAGGTGTCTATCTCTGCATAGTGATAGTTATCTCTCAGCGGTGCTGAAGGGACAGTTAAATGAGGTAATGTATGTCAACGCGTAACACAGTGCCTGGAACACGGCTAGCGTCAATACTTCATGATTGTTTTATTTGTGGCCATATAGGCACGACTGTGGGTATGTGTCACATTTGTGGTTGTCTTTGGGGATGAGTTCTCCTTTGGTGTATGCCATCCTGTGTGATCAGTGTATGTGATCCTTCACCAACGTGTATTTATTTATTCAGCAGTTCTGTGTCAGGTGTTGGACATACAACTGACAGGCAACTTTAGTTCTGTATTCTTTGAGTCCTGAGTCCAGTAGGGGAGACAGATCTGTCACCAGAGAGAGGCGCAGGCAGGGGGTCAGAGCTGGGATGCCAAGGACTGGGGACTGTGGGAGCCCAGAAGATTTGCCCAATTCAGCCTGTGGGCTGTCAGGGAGGGCTTCCTGGAGGAGGGGATGTCTCTGTTGATATGTGAAGGAAAAGTGGGTGTAAGCGAGGCAAGAAGGTGAGGAAAGAATTGAAATGGAAGGAAGACACCTTTTGGCATGTGATTATTTATTGAAGTGATCGTATGTGCAACCATACATATGTGTGTGTGCATACATTGTGGACACGGAGATCCAGAGGGTCTACACGCACATGCTGTTTGCTCCACCACTGACTCATCCCTGGCTGGAGTCGAATGGGGGTCTCATACGTGCCAGGCACTGGGTTAGACCATTTACTTGGGATTTCTCACTGAATTGCCCTGCCCAGGAGGCTTGACCTGGGTCTCCCTGCCTGGACAGGAATTAATACATTGTGTCGCCTTGGGCAGATCACTCTTTCTACCTGGTCTTCGGCTGCACACCTATGAACTAGGTTCAGGGGCCTGCCTGGCCGTGTCCCAGGATGAGGTGGCTCTGGGCGTGTGAGAGTGTGTGTCTAGGTGAGTGACCTGGGTGTGTCTGTGATGCACATCTGTCAGTGAGTATGTATCTGCCTGTGAGTGACTCTGGATGTGTGAGTGTGTGCATGTCTGTATGTCTGTTTGAGAGTGACTCTGGGGTGTGAGTATGCGCACATCTGCATGTGCGTCTGAGTGACCTGAGTGCGTATGTGCACGTCTGTATCTGTCTGTATTTCCATCTGTGAGTGACCCTGAATGTGTGAGCGTGTGACTCTCTCAGTGTGACTCGGTGTGTGAGTATGCTCAGGTGTGCACACTCACATCTGGGTGTGTTTTGCATGTCTGCCCGTGTCATTGTGTCTGGGCCTATATCTTCGTCTGCCCACATTCCTGTCTGGGATCAGTGCACACCTGCCCCTGTGTGTGTTTGCAGGTCTCTGTCCATGTCTGGGGACCCGACCTGGCTGTGACTCTGGGTATGTGTGCGGCAGCAGCTCTTGCCTATTGTCAGCACAGCTGTGGAGCCACATCTCTTGTTGTGTCTGCCCTGTATCTCCATCCCCTCCTCCTGACAGCTCAGAAGTGCTCACTCCCTTGAGGCTGCCCAGGGACAGCTGTGGGGCTGTGGGGGTGTGAGGTGCAGTTCCTCAGGAGGCCAGGACTAGGCCAGCTGGGCCCACAGAGGTTCCCGGCAGTGCAGACCCAGCCCAAAGGGGCTCCCAGGCCTAGCTCTGATTGAAGCAGGCTGTGGAGGCAGGGGACCCAGGGGACAGGCCAAGCGGGGCCAGGAGGGGTGAGGGGCAGCCCTTGGGCCCTCTATATTTAGCCCCGTTTTCGGTAAGTGCTAACGAGAAGCTGACCCAAGTCTGCTAAAACCGGCTGGGGGAAATGCAGAGGAGAAGTGAAAGTCGGGGAGGGAGGGGCAGGGAGGGATGAGGAGAGGAGGGCAGCCAGAGCCCCTGGCCTGGGGTAGGCGGGCAAGCGGGCGTGAGGCCAGGGGTGTGGACAGCCCTGGGTGGGTCTGACTCGAGGATGGTGGGAACCAGGGGGCCCGCAGGGTTCTGCATCGTGTTTCCCTGCCTGTTCCGCTGTAGAGTTACCCACTGCCTGGGGTGGGAGAAGGGCCGGTTGGCCAGAAAGAACCAATGAACCTTTCTGTGTGAATGAGGCTTTAAGAGGAGCTTTGGAAATTTCCAAGGGGCAGGAGCCCATTGGAGTCCTGGCGGTGGGGTACGGGGAGCGGGGAAGCTTTTAAAAAATCTGATACTCAGGTCAAAAGTTGTCATGTCTGGGGTGGGAATAGCATTAGTATTTCTGTTGTCGAGAAAGAGGGGTGTGGGGTAGCCCTGCCTGGGCCCAGGCGCAGACGGCCTGCTGGTGGGCGGCTCAGGGGTCTCCGGTCCCCAGGAAGTCATCTTTTGGCTTTGGGTTCATGGGGGAAATGGAGTCCCCTATTTGTCCTTGGTGGGGATGATCAGATGAGAGCTCTGGTGGAGGAGGAGAAGGGCCAGCGAGGCCTGGGCAAAGGGCAGCTCCGGCCATTTTGCCATCAGCCAGGCAGTGTGAGTAAGCAGGGGATTAGGGAGAACAAAGGAAACAGTGGCAGAAATGTCCCCTCAGACCACTTTGCCCCTTCAGCCACTATCTTTGCAGAGGGGCTATTACCTTAAAGGGGTAGGTTGAAGTTAACTGGGGGTTGGGCTGATGGTTGAGTCGTCGGGTGAGAGCAGGGAGAGGGGTTTGTTTGGGACAGGACTGGGTCTTGGTCCCTCGGAAATTCTTTCATGCATCAATTCATTCCAAAGACACAGTCCCAGCCTGTGCAGCAATGACTCCAGCCTGGGCCCACAGTCTGGGCCTGGCGGTCACTGCCCAGGTGGTCAGGGTGTGTTAGGGAGAGGGGCAGGGGGATCCCAGACGAGAGAGACACTGACCACCCGGGGGGTTGGGGAAGACCTCACAGAGGAGGGGACATGTGAACTGGGGCCTTAAAAAGGAGCAGGCGTTTTCTGCTAAAGAAGGACAAGGTGGCCCCAGGTGGGAGAAGAGCAAAGGCCCAGAGGAGGGAGATCGGGGCTCGGGGCCACCCTTTTTCGTTGGACCCACACACCCTGTGCTGGGCAGTGTCAGGCACCCCAGCATGAGTCAGCCCTGCCCTTGAGGGGGTCCTCGTGTGATGGGGGAGACATCCTGGGACCTAGATGGCCTGCAGCACAGTGACAAGGGGAGATGCCGGGTCAGAGAAGAGTGAGCAAGGGAGAGACATCTGGAGGCATCGGGGCAGGGCTGACTTCACAGAGGAGAAGTCTGTGCTGGGTCCTGAAGGGTGAGTAGGAGGTCGCCAGGTGGACAGCACGGAGAGCAGCACTCCAGCGGAGGGACCAGCTCACGGCAAGGTCTCAGGAAGCATTTGTTAAACGGCAGAGAGACAGCAGGCCAGCAGCAGGGACAAGTAAGAGACGGGGCTGCAGCGAGGGACAGTCATTAGTAACCTATTCTTCTGAGCTGTGTGATGCCAGAGACCCAGGGATGAGTCAGACCCAGCTTTGCATCCTGGCCTGGTAGGAACGGACCGGGACACACGCAGCCCTGTGGGGTCGGGGCTGGCGCAGAGGGAGGCACAGCTGTGGGAGGCTGTGTCAGTCTGCTAGGGCTGCTGTAACGAGTAGCACAGTGGGGTGGTTTAAACAACAGAAATTAATTTTTCTCGAGATTCTGAACGCTGGAAGTCCAGGGTCAGGGTGTCAGCAGACTGGTGTCTTCTGAGGCCTCTCTCCTAGGCTTGGGACGGTCATCTTTTCCCTGTGCCTTCACTTTGTGCGTGTCTGTGTCCCAACCTCCTCTTCTTATAAGGACAGCAGTCATATTGGATGAAGGCCCACCCCGATGACCTTATTTTAGCTTTATTACCTCTTTAAAGACCTTATCTCCAAATACAGTCGCATTCTGTGGTACCAGGGGTTAAGGCTTCCATGCGAACATTGGGCCATAGCACAGCCCGTAACAGAGGCAGGGGACGAGCACAAACTCTCTGGGTTGGAGGTGAGGTCAGAGGCTGCCCTGGCCTGTGGCAGGAGAGGAATTCCCTAACTAGGTGGGGAGTAGAGAACCTGCAAGGCCTGGGCTCTCCATGAAGCAGAACCCCCAAGCCGAAGGAGCTGCCTGGTGTGGTTGAAGACCATGATGCAAGAGTGGTTAGAGATGCAGTGGAGGGTGGCAGAGGCCACACCCTGAAGGGAGGCCAAGGACCCTGGGCTTTTCTCGGAGACATGGCTAGCCAGGGAAGGGTTTAGGGCCAGGGAGTGCTGGGTGTGTGAAGGATCTTCCTGGGGCACTGTGGACACTGGCTGGAGGGAGAGGACAGGGCTGGGGCAGGGGTTTCAGGGATGCTAGGAAGGAGGGATTTAGGGCTGCCTTTGGGTTAGCTGTTGCCTGGAGCAGGGCGAAGAGCTGGGTGATTTTGAGCCAAGATTAGGCAGGATTCCTGCCTTTGATGCCCCAGTGTCAGGAGCGGAGCCTCATCGCAGCTCCCTTTGGGCCCTCCTGTGTCTCTCAAGATCGTTGGCCACTCGGTGCCCCATCCTCAGTGCCCAGGAACAGGGCCTGAGCTCCTGTACCATCCTGGGCTCCTGCTCCCTACCTCACCCCCATCTGCCTATTCCTCCATAGGACCACATGCTGAGCATTCTTTTCTTTTTGTGAAAACAATGTACATATAGTCAAGTGCCCAGTTTTAAGTGTACAGTCTGATGAATTTTTACATCAGTTTGTACACATTTTTAACATGTGTACAAATTCACATAACCACCGAACAGATCAAGATGCAGAACATTTCCAGCCCCTGTAGCTTTTCTCATGCCCTTTCTTGGTCAGCACCCCCAGAGCACCCACTTGTCCAACGTTGATCATCTGATGTCATCTTGCCTCTTTCTGAGCTTTGAGTAATTGGAGCCCTACTGTCTGTCTGCTTTTGTGTCTGATGTCTTTCCCTCAGCGTCAAGTCTGTGGGATTGATTGGTCTGCGATGCAGGAGTTTGTTCTTTTCCTTGCTGCGGAGTACTTCACTGTGTGGGCATACCATGTTTTGTTGATCCATTCCCCATTGATGGGCCTTTGAGCTATTTCAGAGTCTTTACTGAAGGGCTGCTGGGAACGCATGCGCCCGTGGGCGTTGGTGGGCAGGACACCGGGGAGTGGACATAGGGCGTCATAGGAAGGGGGCACCTCTTGGCTTTCTTGACTTGTGCTTGTATTAGTCTACACTCCCACCAGCAGTATGTGACCTGGCTTGTTAATAAGAAATTTTAAACCCGAGCAGTGTTTTGTGTCAAGTAATCCTCAGTTGCAAAATTCCTGGACTTTTTTTTCTTCAGCTGCTGAGGATGTCCAGCTCTCTCTTTCGCTGGCCTTCTAGAGATACTGGGTGCAGAGCACACTAGAGTTGGACAGCTCCTTTGATAGGGTGGGGTCACGGTGCGGGTGGGGATTTATAATGACTTGTGGGAGACACATTTGGGTCTGAGTCAGGGTCACAAGTAAGGTCGGTCTGAGGCCAAGTTGGGAATTGAGCCCCAGAAAAGATCTTAGACTATCTGGATGGGATTTGGGATCCAGGGTGAGTAAAGGGATTGAGAAGGGGCCAGGCAGAAGCCCAGATTTGTGTGGGGGTGCAGGACCAGGAAGGACTGGGCTCGAGTCGACGTCGGGGTGACCGTTGGAGAGGAGGTGGGTGGAAGTCACGACTGGGGTCACTGGCCCATGGCAGCCCTGATCAAATGCAGGAGCCCCGGAGTCACGGTGACGGGGGTCCGATCAGGGGAGCTCTGCTGTCTCATGGTGTCCTCAGGGAGGTGGTACCCCCTCAGAGCCTCAGGTCCCTTCTCTGTGAAATGGGGGTAATATTAGCACCAACTGCTAACGTGATTTTAAGCTCATCCTTAGCGCTGTGCTTGGCCCTGGGAAGCACTCAGCTTCCCATTGTCAGCATGAGAGCACTAAGAAGACAGAGCCCTCTCCATCGCTTTGTGTCCCCTGGGGCCAGCTACCTGCTCACCACCTCCCCCTGGCCACCTCCTTTTGTTTCCGGGGTCTACAGAACTATAGAAAGGGATTGCGTTTTAGGGGCCACGTATCTTGCTGGGATTTGGGTGTGCAGTTAGAACTCAGGGCTGAAGGCCCAGGTAAGGTCAGGGGCAGAGCCGGAAGAGGTTGCGGCTGCTAGGCGCTGAAGACAAGAAGGGAGGCCAGTGGGAGTGAGGTGTGGACGGGAAAGTGGTGGGCCGGGGGAGGGCCAGCGGGCGGCTGAATCACACCCCGAGATCTGAAGACTTGCTCCTTTGGGGATGCTGCAGTCCTGCCACATCCCCTGGCCCCGCGCAGAGTGGAAAACATGTCTCAGCTGAAACTTGGTGAGGCAGGACGGGTGCCTGGGCGGCACGCCTCAGCAGGAGGCCCAGGCTGACTCTCTCCTTTGGAACATCACCAGCCCCCCCTCCCAGGCAGCCGGGCAGCCGAGGCCTTCTCACGACCCCTGCCCCAGGGCCTCCCAGGGCCGAGCCGCCCAGTGCACCTTCTGGGGGGTGAAAAGGATCAGGCACGAGCCTCAAGGCCTGAAAGCCCCTCCCTTATGTCCCCAGAGAAGGGCAGAGGCCCAGGACCAAGGGCATGTCTTCCGGAAGGAGACACTTCCAAGGTGGCAGGGTGTGAGGGGGAGCTGGGGTGGCGCTGCAGCAACGTCCGAGAGCCCTCCTGGCATCCCCTCACTGCGCTTCCATCCCTTCTGTGTCCCCAGAAATAAGAATGTCTAAGCCCCTGGAGGCCGAGAAGCAAGGTCTGGACTCCCCGTCAGAGCACACAGGTGTGTGGGAAGGCAGAGGGCAGGCAGGGGGCAGGTGTGGTGGGGAGCTGCAGGGGCACCTGGTGACACTCACCTTTTCCCTCTCGTTGCAGACACCGAAAGAAATGGACCAGACACTAACCACCAGGTCAGGGGGGAGTGGATGGGCAGGGTGTGGGGTCGGAGAGAAGGGGGCAGAACGGGGCTCTGCGGGGGAAGCTGGGAAGTGTCAGCAGCTGCCTCATTTCACTAGTCCCATCCCCACCCCAACTTCTCTTCACAGAACCCCCAGAGTAAGACCTCCCCGTTCTCCGTGTCCCCAACTGGCCCCGGCACCAAGGTAAGCACCTGTCAGAACAGCCAGGGCAGGGGAGGGGGAGGGGTGTCCTGTGATGGGTGGCAGTTGCTTTTGGGAGAGGGTCCCACAGGCCTGCCACTGACCCAGGGCCTGAGGGGGCACCTAGCCCTGGCATCTTAGTGACAAGGCTCCTCCCACCCCTTCTCACCCTCGGGCTCCCGCCCCAGGCCTGTGACTCACGCGGGCTCCTTCCCCTTCCCTGGGGGGTGGGGGTGGCCAGGGAAATCCCCCCCGGAGCCCCAGGGCGATGAACAACAGGAAGCCAAGGGCCCGCCCCCATCCCAACTTCCCTGACCGAAGAGGGGCCTGCCCTACCCCACCCTCTGCCCCCCATCACACCCTCAGGGAGAAGAGAGGGGTTCTGGGGTCAGGGGAGGCAGACTCAGTGAGGTTGGCTGGGGGACTGAGGAGATGCTGGAGGAGAGGGCGGTAAGGAGGCCGGAAGTGGCCAAACAGAGTGAATCCCAAATCCAGAGGGGGCCCCCCCACTGCTGGGCAGCGGGACTTCCTGGGCCGCCTGGGCCCAGGTCTCCATCCTCCAGCCCGGCGGTGGGGCAGCCGCAGCGAGAGGCCTGCAGGCAGCCCTGGGGCAGGGCAGCTGGGGCGTGGGTGGGCTCCTGACCCTGACCGATGGCAGCAGAGGGATGGGGCGAGGGGGCTGGGACCTGCTCTGGGACCATGGGAAAATCACTTCCCCGCCCTGTGCTTTTCAGTTTCCTCTTCTCTAACATGGGGGGGGGGGGGGGAGTCAGATTAGATGGCCTCTGAGGACCGCTCCACAGCTAGTGTGCCCTGATGCCACTTGGTGGGCGGGTGTCTTGTCTTGAGCAAGTTGGCCAGGGCCCAGGGGAGAAGGTCCCCAGCTTGGACCTCTCTCCCTCTGATTTCAGTTTTGGCTCTGACCTTTGCCCTCAGAGCGTCCATCTATCTTCTCCACACCACCCTCCTCAGCTGAGTCTCTGCAGTCTCCCCTGGCCTCACAGCAGCCCCGTTTCTCCGCGGGGACACCCATGGTGCCCAGGGAAGGAAGGGTCCTCATTTCCCTTCTCGAGCCTGGACCTGGTTCCCAGAGGAAGCGCGAGGCGGCTGCCAGCCTTGACCTGTCCGTCCCCCGCCCTCCTGTGTCAGTCTTTCCCCTGCTGCAGGGCTCACGTGCTCCCATCGTGATTTCACAGAAATCCACACACCACCGTGTGCAATTGTTTATGTAGTAACTTTGTTAATTGGCTCAATTTTTTAAAAAGCATTTTATTTTGCAGAAGATACTAAAGTAGAAAGGAGAGCATAATAAAAAGAACCCTCAAGTACCAGCCCCCCCGCCCCCCCAGCCAGCTTCAATAATTACCGACTCACGAACCAGCTTGCTCTTTTAACAGCTGAAATAAATGTTTTGTTTTATTTTTTTTAATGGAAATTTCATGAATGGAAAACCAAAATCACTTGCCATGGAAATAAATACGACTATTAAAATGTACCTAGAGAAGCTTGCCTGTCGCCCGGTTTAGCCTGAGGCCCGCTCTCTGTTAACAGGGCCGTCGGCTGGTTGGGAGGCGTTAGAGACATCCTAGCCCCTGAGAGAGACGTTCTGAGACCCAGGAAGAATGAAAGAGCTCTGAAGGAGGAATAGTGTCCTCACCATGGCTGCCAATTTTTAAAAAAATTTTAATTAAAATATGACACGCACATGGGTCCTCAGCATACGGTTCTGTGGATTTTCACACACTGAGCAGCTGTGTCTCCAGCACCAAATCGAGAAGCAGAGCATGACCAGACTTCCAGAAGGTCCTTAATTCCCTGCCACTGCCCCTGCCTTCTAATACTCACTGTCGTTTCGTGCTGCACCCTGTACCCTTAAAACTTTCTGACATTTGTATCCCATACTTAGGGGCACGTCACTCGCCCTCTGGTCTGTGACCTTTTCCGGGCCTCTGTCTGACTGTCCTTCAGTCTGCATTCCAAATGCCATGCCCCTGCCAGCTGCCGTGTCACCTTGCACGACTGCCTTTACTACGGACTTTTTTTTTTTTTTTTTTAAGCAAAATGATGCTGGGACATTGGGCTGCAAGATGATCCCAAATGTCCCCTCTGGGCTTCCTCTCATTCCCATGTGCCCTTTGCCAACAGACCCCCCCCTGCCCCCGCCCTGCCCCGTGAGACCACCGTTGTCTGGCTTTTTGTGTAGGAGAGGAAGGAGGTCAGGGCTGCTTTATGCTGGTCTGTCCTGTGTTTTCGGTGCAAGATGCCGTCACACCTGACAGAGAGATGAGGAGGAGCCAGGGGTGGCAGCCATGCAGGCTGACATCTGGCAGCACTTGGGCCACATTGGGCCTGCAGATGCGCTTTCCTTGTTCTGCAGAGTTTTTGCTTTAGATTTTAAAACCTGTGGCTGGCAGGAGCAGCAGGAGCTGGGCAGGCCTCTCCTGCAGGCGGGCAGGTGGGCAGCATCTTCGGCCCACCCGTGGTCCTCTGCCCAGGTCACCCGTCTGCGTTGTCTGCCTGTTTCTGTCTGCATTGGAATTTGTGACCCAAAGCAGTGTGTGTGTGTGTGTGTGTGAGTGTGTGTGTGTGTGTGTGTGTGTGTGTGTGTGTGTGTTTAATATCCTAAGACCTTTCTTCCAATAAAATTTTACTGCATGGGACAGATAAGAGCTGCACCTCTGGCTGAAGCAGATGATGGCTCTGGGACCCAGACCCCCTTATTTGAGGTCCCAGGGCCCCATGGCATCATTTCCCATTTTACAAATGGGGAACCTGACTCCCGAGAAGGGAAAAGTGCTCTCCAAAGGTGGCCCTGACCCATAGGGAGTTTGGGTGCAGGGGGGTGTGGGAGCCTATCCGACTGCTGAGGAGACAGGCGAGAGGGGTGGCCGAGGCCCCAGCTAGTCAGCGCAGGGTCTGGCCTCCGTACCCCTGTCCACATCTCCTGTGCCGGCTGGAGGCTGCTGTTGCCACACAAGTGCCCTCTCTTTGGTTCGCAGGTGGGCATTCTCTCTGGCCTCCACTTAACATTCTGGGGTCCCGGACCCTGCCTCTCTCCCCCCCAGATCAAGGCTGAAGACCCCAGTGGCGACTCAGCCCCAGCAGCGCCCCCGCCCCCCCAGCCGGCTCAACCACATCTGCCCCAGGCCCAGCTCATGCTGACGGGCAGCCAGCTTGCCGGGGTAAGTACTTGGGGAGGACAGGGACAGGGGCACAGGCCTGCTGCCTCCATCAGTTACGGGGCCGGTGGCCTGGGTGTCCTTCCAGGGCCACAGCTGCTCTCTGTCGTCTGCCTCTTGCCCTCCTCTGCCTCCTGGAAGGCCTGCTTCCTTACCTGTTTGGCTCAGGCACTAACCCCTCTCTGCCTTCTCTGCTCTCCATGCCCCCCGCACCCCGCCGCCCCCCCCCCCGCCCCCCACAGCTCACGGCGCTGATGCCAGCACAGCAGCAGCTCCTCCTGCAGCAAGCACAGGCCCAGCTCCTGGCCGCCGCCGTGCAACAGTCCAATGCCGCCGCCGCCGCTGCCGCCTCCTCCAGCTCCTCCTCCTCCTCCTCTTCCTCCTCCTCCTCTGCCTCCTCCTCAACCTCTCAGCCCCCATCCTCCTCTGGGGGAGGCGACCTGCCACAACCACAGCCTGCCAGCCAGTCCCCCGGGACCCCACAGCTCACCCTGTCCCAGCCCATCCAGCTCACAGCACAGGTAAGGGTGGCCCAGGGCACGGCCCCCCCAGTGGAGGACCCACAGGGGCACGCAGGACTGACTCGTCCTTGCGGACTCTTCCCACCAGCAGCGCACATGCAGGCAGTTCCCAGAAACCTTAGGAAGCCTTGGGAGATGCTGTCCCCATCTCTCAGTCAGGCAGAGGGAGGCTCAGAGAAGGGACATCCTCCACAGGACCGACCGCTTCCCACAATGACTGCTCTGCAGATGGCTTTCTCTCTCTCTCCATGGAACCCTGGGTTGAGTGCGCTCTGTGCACCTGGCTGAGGGATCACAGCCAGCTGGGAGGCTGGCACATTATCCTCAATTTACAGCTGAGCAAACCAGGGGTCACCCCATGAATGGTACCTGTGTGGGTGCAAAATGAAAGGCTGAGAATCAGAATTAGGGCTTCAGAATTGTGTCCCCGGCTCTTTCAGAAAAGGGGGTTGTGCTCTCTGAGTTAGGGAATCCTGCATCATTTCTCCCCATTCTGGCAACTTCTGGGCATCAGATGCTGAGTTAGGGATTTTGCCTTAGTTTCCTGGGGCTGCCATAACAATGTTCCGCAAACTGGGTGGCTTAACACAACAGAAATTTATTATTGCAGACCCGATTCCAACATCAAGGCGTGCTCCCTCTGGAGGCCCTAGGGGAGAATCTCTCTTTGCTTCTTTTAGGTTCCGGGGGTGCAGAAATCCTTGGTGTCTTGTAGATGGATTGTTCCAATTTCTCCCTCTGCCATCTTCTGTCTGTGGGTATCTCTCTGTGTCCAAATTTCTCCTTTTTATAAGAACACCAATCATTAGATTAGGGACCACCCCAATGACCTCATTTTAACTTGGTTACATCTGCAAAGACCCTATTTCAAATAAGGTCATATTTATAGGTACCAGGGATTAGGACTTCCAACACATCTTTTTTGGGGACAATTCAACCCATGACTGTGGCCGACAGATTCCCCTTAAGGGAATAACTGAAGGGAGCAGAGTGGGAGCTGGGCAGTTTCTCCTTCCACTGGGTCTGCTCCCTCCAACCCATCCCGCCTGTACCTGCCCACGTCACCCATTTGTGCTACCTGCTTGGTTACCGTAAGCACCTGTTTGTGGCCCATGTTCCAAGACGGTGAAGGTCCTGAGAAGTCCAGCAGCAAGGAATCCTGTTTCACTTCCCTTAGCCCCGTGCTTCCCACAATGACGCTAGGCAAGTAGCTTTGTCTCTCTCTCCACCCCTTTCTGTGGGATGCCTGGGCAGACGCTGCTACTCCAGGGTGCTGTCCAGCGCCCGCGAGGCTGTTCCCTGGACAGAGTCCTGCCTCCGAAGGGCCTTTTCATACTGACAAGCGTGCTCGTTTGGGACTGTCCTTCACACTGAGCTGGTATCTGCCTCGTGAGAGCTTCCCACCTCTGGGCCTGGTTCTGCAGGAACCCACAGGGCCATCCGTGCCCACAGCTCTGTAACGTATCCTCTAGATGTGCCCTCCCAATGCCGGGCTCACCATGGTAACCATAACTAGAGCCTGTTTGGTACCACCTTGGCACCAAGCACTGTGTTAATGTGACCACCTGGAATCCACAAATCACCACGGCCAAGCCTCTGAGGGGCAAAGTGACTTGCCTGCTCCAGGTCACACCGTGACATGAGTGGCAGAGCAAGCAGCCTGGGAGTCCAGGGCTCTAATCACAAGATCTGGGGCTGCTGTTTTAGCTGTCCTTCAAGGCGCGTGTGTCCTGCCTCCCCACCCCGGCACCAGAGATCCCAGCAGCAGGTGTTCTGGTTGCCTCGTGGCACACACGGCTCCTCATAGAGCAACACCAAGGCTCAGGGCTCCGCACTAGATCTTGAATCTTGGTGTCTCTGCTCTTGTACTTCTTTCTACCTGGAAGTCAGCTCCCTCCCTTTCCCTGGACAGCTCCTCTTCACCCTTCAAACCCCAGCTGGGGAGTCCACACCTGCAGAACGCCTTGATGACGTGCCTCCCTCCAGCTGGCTTGCTTTCCTGCCTCCTCTGGGGGCCACAAGCCCAGGCCTCTCCTTCCGATCACCCAGGGCTGTGTCCCACTATGCTCGGGGAAATATCTGTTGAAAGAACAAAGATGACAGGGTGGAGGAAAGACAGGGCAGCCTACTGCAGACCCAGCCCGGCCATCATCCCCTGTGTGCAGGAGACACCCCTCGTGTTCGTACACCCCTAGAATTAAGTGCCCCAGGCTCCCCGCGGATCGCAGCAGCAGGCTGACCCCTGCCACCCGCCACCCCACCAGGCCTGATACTCAAGGTCTCCTGGACCCCTCACTGCCAAGCCCTCCCCTCTCGCTTGGCCTGCGCCAGGTTCCCCCAGCTCCCCCCAGCTCATCTTCCCTGTCCGTCCTCTGCAAGTGCAAAGCTGGGCCAAGTTTGTTTCCTGGGAGTTCTGTCACCCGTGGCCTCTTTCTTTGACAGACAAACGTGTATTCTGTTCTGCCGGTGTGCAGGCACCACGCTGGGCCCAGGTTGTGGCAGGGACCACGCTTCTCCTGCCCTGGCTGCCCACTGAGGCATGGCAGGCCCCAGCCTGCATCCCATGCCCGCCGATTCTGCTCTCCGTGCCTGCTCAGCTCTGTCCTGCGGTCATTTCACAGACATCTCCCGGCTTCCTGTGTGTCAGGCCCTGGAGTGACTCAGACTCATCCTTGCCCCTGAGGTCTCCCAATCTTATAGGGAAACAAATACACCAAAGAACCACTAAGAAATGTTTCCGTTGAAAACTACTAGAAAAGCCAAAAGCACCCCAACCTTACCAATTTATTTTAAATTTTATTTATTGATATGAGAGAGAGAGAGAGAGAGAGAGAGAGGAAGTGGGGGAGAGAGAGTCGATTTGTTGTTCCACTTAATTGTGCATTCATCGATTGCTTCTTATATGTGCCCTGATCAGAGACCGAACCCGCAACCTTGCAACGTCAGAGTATCAGGACAACACTCTAACCAGCTGAGCAGCCTGGCCAGAGCCACTAACCCTCCTGCTTTAAAATTATAAAAAGTCCAAGGGGAAAGCCCCCTTCCTGTCCCTCTAATGCCAGCTTCCAAAGTAATGTTGGTTAAACCGTTTGGCAGGAACCCTCCTGCATTTTCCTAGCTTGTACAAATAAAGGGATGATTAGCATACGATTTCATAATTTGTGTGTTCAGCCCTTGGCACAATGCTTTCCACTGAGGGGGCTACACGGGTGTTTACTGAATCAATGAGAGATGTTTTGCTGCAGCTTTTCAATCAAGAGTAGGGAAGACGTCTCTCCAGAGGAGTCATTCAGAATGTTTTGGCTAGGGGTAGGTATTGATTGAAAATTTACATTAACTGTTAAAACATCATTTTGTATTTGGAGACCGAAAAAAAAATCTCTATTTTTGTAATATAACCATGGCAAATAGAGCTTGGCTGGTAGGATCTAGTGGATAAAGGTTTCCCAGAGAAACCTACTGGAGGTGGTGGGAAAAGAAAGGTGACCTAGGGCTGAGAGGGTCAGGGAAGGCTTCTGGGAGGAGGCAGTATCTGAACCAATGTAGGACAAATCAGAGCTTACCAGGTGGGCCCTGGCCAGGTAGCTCAGTTGGTTAGAGCATTGTCCCGATAGGCCAAGGTTGTAGGTTTGATCCCCGGTCAGGGCACATACAATGGGCAACCCATGAACACATAAATAAGTGGAACAACAGAAATTGATGCTTCTCTCTCTCAAATCAATAAATCAATTTAAATAAGAGTTTCCCAGGTGGATATGCTGGAGAAAGGGCAGTGGGACCAGGGAATTCTAACTGAGAGAGCAGGGTGGGCTCAGGGAGTTGGGGGTGGGAGCCGTGTTGGAAGACAATGAAGGATGAGATGGGAGAGGGTGTCAGCTGGGCCACTCCAGGCGGCTGGAAAGAAAAGGGAATATTTGGCTCATGGCACTGAAAGGCCCTGGGAAGGCCTGACCTGGAACATCAGGGACCTCTCTTTTCATTCTGGGACAGGCAAGATGGGTGCCAGAACTTGTAAACTTGTAGCCACCCTGCTCAGGGAGGTAAAACACATCCCAGGGCCAGGCTTGGCCAGGTTTGAGTCTGTTCCCCTGACCAAGAGAAGGTGGGATATGTCTCACTTGGACTGTGTGAAAGTGAAGGAGGGCAAGTCCCTAAAAGGGAGATGGGTCCTATTGGTTGAAGAACAGGCAGTGGGTGCCAGGCCAATCAAACCAGTCACCTGGAGGGTGGGGGCATGTACGCACACAGGGCCAGGGGGCCAGGAGTCCAGCCGAGGCACGCCGGTCATCCCACAGTTCCTGGGTTGGGATTTGCTATGGCTCATTTGTCCTGGACTTTAAGCATGAGGTAGCATGACTGTAGCCCATAACCCATGTGCAGGCAGTTTTTCCCCCTGTTGAATGGCTCTCTGTGGTGTTCTGTCCCAGTCACTGGGACTTCCTGGGCTCCATGTGGCAGGGCCAGCCTCTGGGGGACATTGATGCATAGAAGGCACAGAAGAGCCCACACTAGAGACAGACCATCTCTGTTCATGCGCCGGCACCCCCCGTCCTGCCCCCCCCCCCCCCGCACCTACTTTTAGAGTTTCTCCTAGCAGAGTGACTGGAAAGTCATAGTCACTCATTCATTCAGCTAACACTGAGGACCGTGTGCATGCTGGGCGCCCACTCATGGCCCAGAGGGACAGCTGTGAACAAGGCAGAGGACCTTCTGTTCTAGTGGGGAGATGGACAGTAAACAAGTAAACAGCCCAGCAAAACAAGGCTGTTTTAGAGTAAGTGTAATGAAGAAAATGAAACTGGGCGGTGCCATCGAGGAAGGAAGCCACTTTTAATAGGGTAGGCAAGAAAAGCTTCCCTGGGAAGGCGGCCTCTGAGAGCTGAGGCCTGAGCGAGTCAGTCATGAAGAAGCCAGAGGGAGAGCTTAGAAACAGGCAACAGCACGTGCAAAGGCCCTGAGGCAGAAAGCAGCGTGACCTGTCCCGGACACAGAGGAAGGGG